TGGCTATACTGCACTGTTCGTGGGATCTCAGTTCCCCGACCAGGGATTGAACCCGGGCCTTTCTTTTCTAATATATGCTTTCAACGCTATTAATTTCCTTGTAGGTACTACTTCTGCTGCATCTCACAAATGTTGTTAAGTTGTATTTTCATTTTCATTTAGTTCAAAATATTTCTTAATTTATCTTGAGGTTTCTTATTTGGCCCTGTGTTATTTAGAAGTGTTTTGTTTAATCTACAAGTATTCTGGAGTTTTCCAAGTATTTTTCTGTTATTGATTTCTAGTTTGATTCCACTGTGGTCTGACAGCATATATTGTATGATTTCTGATTTATGTTTGTTTTGTTAAGGTATGTTTTATGGCTTCAAATGTTGTCTATCTTGGTGAATGTTCCATGTAAGCTCGAGAAGAATGTGTATTCCACTGTTGTTGGGTGAAGTGGTCTATAGATGTTAATTACATCCAGTTGACCAATGGTGCTGTTGAATTCTCCTACGTCTTTTCTGATTTTCTGCCTGCTAGGTCCATCCATTTCTGACAGAGGGGTATTAAAGTCTCCAACTATAAGAGTGGATTTGTCTATTTCTCCTTTCAGTTCTATCAGTTTTTGCCTCATGTATTTTGATGCTCTGTTGTTAGGCACATACACATTAAAGCTTATGCCTTCTTGGAGAATTGACCCCTTTATCATTATAAAATGTCTTTATCCCTGACAATTTTCCTTGCTCTGAAGTTTGCTCTGTCTGAAAGTAATATAGTCATTCCAGCTCTCTTTTGATTAGTGTTAGCATAGTGTATCTTCTTCTATTCCCTTACCTTTGTTTTTGGAAAGAGTTGTTATGTAAAGTTATTAGAACTATATGATCTACATCTGCAATCACTGGGCCTATTACTTTTTTATTTTTGTTTTTTTATTGTGATAAAATACACATAACATAAAATTTACCATTATAACCATTTTTAAGTGTATAGTTCAGTGGCATTAAGAACATCCACATTGTTGTGCAGCCATCACCATAACTCTTTTCATCTTGTAAAACTGAAATGATACTCATTAAACAATAATCCTCCATTCCCTCCTCCTGCTAGCTCCTAGCAACCACAATTACATTTTCTGTCTTTATGATTTTTGACTACTGTAAATACTTAATATAAGTGGAATTATACAGTACTTGTCTGTTTATGACTGTCTTATTTCACTTAGCATAGTCCTCAAGTTTCTTCCATGTGTAGCATACTGTGAAATTTCCTTCTTTCTTAAGGATGAATAGTATTCCATTGTATGTATATAAAACATTTTTCTGGGTTTCCCTGGTGGCGCAGTGGTTGCGAGTCCGCCTGCCGATGCAGGGGACACGGGTTCGTGCCCCGGTCCAAGAAGATCCCACATGCCGCGGAGCTGCTAGGCCCGTGAGCCATGGCCACTGAGCCTGCGCGTCCGGAGCCTGTGCTCCGCAAACAAACAAACAAACAAACAAAAAACATTTTGCTTATCCCTTCATCTGTTGATGGACATTTGGGTTCCTTTCACATTTTAGCTACCGTGAAAACCTGCTTTCCTTCTGGGAATTTAGAATTTAGGTACATGCTAGACAGAGGATGACTATGTGACTAGCCCCCAGTAGAAACCTTGGGCATTGTTCTCTGATGAGATTCCCTGGTAGACGATATTTCACCCATGTTGTCACAGCTTGTTGCTGGAAGAGTTAAGTGTATCCTGTGTGACTCCACTGGGAGAGAACCCTTGGAAGCTTATGCCAGGTTTTCCCTGGACTTTGGCCCCATGTGCCTTTTCCCTTTGCTGATTTTCTCTTGTATCCTTTCACTGTTAAAGCATAGCTATGAGTATGACTATAAGTTCTCTGAGACCTCCTACAAATCATTGGACCTTGGGGTGGACCTCTGATACACCATGTTACACAGGCTGCCCATAAATATTTCAAAACTCCAGTAATTCTGTTATTTTCAGCAGTACATCAACCATCACTTTGGAAGCTGACAATTGTTTAGAATACAAAGTAGTTATAAATATGTATAACTGAAATCTAAAAAGTGGTTAAATATGTTTTACCCTTCCTTTCCAGTTGCAGATATGTGTTGGGAGTTGGGATTCTTGGTGCTATAACATCAAAACCAAAGGAAAGAATCATTTTATTATTCTAGAAACTAATCCTTATTTTAAATGAAGAGGCAATGAGTTTAATATACATATCTTCATTACTGATTGATCATAAGTTATTCCTTTATTCTCACTGAAAAACTTTTCAGGTATGTATTTGTATAAATCAATTCATTATTACTTTTATATCTTATTGTTTATTTTCTTAATTTTTAATAACTTTGATTTTCATTTTATTTATTATTACGGTTACATTCTATTACTGGCAAGAGATCATGGTTTTCCATTTCATGGAGTCAATAGAAGTTTCTCTTCAAAACAAATGTGTTTAAGTTTTAAAAGTGACCTTACAAAACCTTAAAAAGAAAGAAGGAAAAGGGGGATCAATAGCAAAATTGCAATAAGTAAATATAGATGATGGTATACGGGATTTCATTATATTGTTCGTTACTTTTTTGTGCATGCTTGGAATTCTGAGTACTAGAAAGGTTAGTTGAGAATTTCATTTCTGGCAGTACGTCAAACTTTTGCTCACTAAGCAGTTAGCTTTTCCATGAAATAACTATTTAACGTACTGCTTTCATAAGAGTTAAGGGAATACCTCCAAGCATTCACACATATGTATATACATAAACATAAATAATATCATTGGGTAAAACCAAAGTAGGGAACTGGGCAAAATAGTCCTGGGCAAATAGAAAAGTTAGAGCAGCCCTGATAGGCACCAATATCAGCTCTGTGGTTGTGAAACTAAGCCCTGAATCAGCTGTAGAATAGGAGAGCTGACTGAGATTCCTGTATTAAGATGGAAACTCCTCAAAGGATATGGAAGTGGTCCCCTATCAGCAGTGACTCCTGGCTTCTGGAAGATGCAATAGCAACTCCTCTCTGAAGAGGTATCGCCTGTATCTTGGTGTCAAAAATGACCATGTACTTTTGATAAAAGAGCCAAATAGGACTTTTTAGAAAAGACAAAATATTTAGATATTGAGGATTCACATAGATTAGGGTGAAACTAATATGAGCTCACAAAGATTATCAACACACAAGAAACAAACCACCATGAGTGAGAATCAGCAGAAACAACGTTCAGATCCTCAAGAATTTCAGACATTGGAATTATCAATAAGACTATTTAAATAGCTATAACTATGTATTAAAGGTTTAAAGCACTCATAGGCGCCAGGGCACCCTGACAGCAAAGATCAGCTTCCACCAGGAAGCTATTAAATCATTTGCCTTCCTGGATTAAAACAAAAAAGCATTAATAGGCTACCCAAAATGATTTTTAAAAGAGTCAAATAGAAGTTTTAGGAAACAAATACACAATTGTTGAATTAAAGACTGGGGGGAGGGCATCCTGGTGGCACAGTGGTTAAGAATCCGCCTGCCAATGCAGGGGACACAGGTTCGAGTCCTGGTCCGGGAAGATCCCACATGCCGCTGGGCAACAGAGCCCATGTGCCACAACTATTGAGCCTGCGCTCTAGAGCCTGTGAGCCACAGCTACTGAAACCTGCATGCCTAGAGCCTGTGCTCCACAACAAGAGGAGCCACAGCAATGAGAAGCCTGCACACCACAATGAAAAGAGGCCCCCACTCGCCGCAACTAGAGGAAGCGCGCGTGCAGCAACAAAGACCCAACGCAGCCAAAAATATATTTTAAAAATTAAAATAAAATAAAATAAAATAAATAAAGATGGGGGGAATGTGTTAAATAAGAGATTAGGAGCCACTTGTTCAATAGAGTATTATATATATATATATATATATATATACACATATATAAATATATATAAATAAGCTTAAAAAGCAAACAGGAAAAAATAAATAAAATGAGTTAAAAGCAACAACCAAGATAAAATAAAATGGATGTATAACTTTGAACTAGCAAGAAAAAAATAGCTAGTGAAAGAAGGGAAAGAACATGAAAAGATGCTCAACATCACTAATCATTAGAGAAATGCAAATCAAAACCACAATGAGGTATCACCTCACACCAGTCAGAATGGCCATCATCAAAAAATCTAGAAACAATAAATGCTGGAGAGGGTGTGGAGAAAAGGGAACCCTCTTGCACTGTTGGTGGGAATGTAAATTGATACAGCCACTATGGAGAACAGTATGGAGGTTCCTTAAAAAACTACAAATAGAACTACCATATGATCCAGCAATCCCACTACTGGGCATATACCCTGAGAAAACCATAATTCAGAAAGATTCATGTACCAAAATGTTCACTGCAGCTCTATTTACAATAGCCAGGACATGGAAGCAACCTAAGTGTCCATCGACAGATGAATGGATAAAGAAGATGTGGCACATATATACAATGGAATATTACTCAGCCATAAAAAGAAATGAAATTGAGTTATTTGTAGTGAGGTGGATGGACCTACATTTTGTCATACAGAGTGAAGTAAGTCAGAAAGAAAAACAAATACCATATGCTAACACATATATATGGAATCTAAAAAAGTAGTACTGGTGAACCTAGTGGTGGCGCAGGAATAAAGACACAGAGTAGAGAACGGACTTGAGGACAGGTGGCGGGGGTGGAGAGGAAGTTGGGACGAAGTGAGAGAGTAGCACTGACATATATACACTTCCAAATGTAAAATGGATGGCTAGTGGGAAGCTGCTGCATAGCACAGGGAGATCAGCTCGGTGCTTTGTGACAACCTAGAGGGGTGGGATAAAGGAGGCTCAAGAGGGAGGAGAAATGGGGATATATGTATACATATAGTTGATTCACTTTGTTGTACAGCAGAAACTAACACAACAATGTAAAGCAATTATACTCCAATAAAGATACAAAAAAAAGGTAAAGAAGATATAAAGAAGTAATTAATGTGAAAAAGATGACTGAAATATCTATATATAAAAATAAATGCATTTAATGTAAGTGAATTAGCAGCACTTCTGGAATAGAAGAATAAGAATCTCTGAAAACCCACTCCTTCATAAAAGCATGAGAACACTGGCAAAAATTGTCAAAATCAACTTCTTTCGGTATTCTGTAAATTAATCAAAAAAAGGTTTGTGATAATCAGAGAAGTGTCTATTCAATAAAAACAGCTGAATCTTAGTAAGAACAGTGAGCTTTGTGGTGTTCTAAGTTGCTCTAGCCCCATTCCCCTCTCCCCGCTCCAAGGTAGCCTTGAAAAACAACAGCTTCACAACCATGGTTGTTGCAAAAATTAGCAATTTAGTAACCACTGGAAGGGGAAGAATAGGTTTGGAGCTCTTCAAAAAGTCCCATTCACAGACAATTGTCATTATGTGACTTGTCTGACATCTCCTTTGGAAAGCTCCATTCTCAGGTCTTGGTTTTATTTGACCTGACTCAGAGCTCACGCTATAAAAACAGGGCATTTGCCAAAATAATCAGTGGCAGTTCTCTAACATTGCACCTGAGACGATGATGCAAAGGCCAGCAGCCTTCTTCTCCCTGGGATGGGCGTCACTCAGCAGGTGTTGGAGACACTTTCTGGAGCATGGCTCAGCTGTGGGGTCACCAGCTTTCCCCTGTGGAAAGCCAGGGGACTCTGTCAGGATCACATGCAGCATCTAACAAGGCTCATACTTTTCAGACTGTCCCCTCCACCCCCATCCCTGTCCATTAAAGCAAGGCTTGCTCCTCTGCTGCTCTTCCTCCCGCATTCTTCCCCCATTCTATCTAGGTGAGGGTGGGGTGGGTTCTGTCTCACCGGTTCATTCCCCTCGCAGAGCAGTTAGAGCTCTAATTAGTATCATCAGCTGGGCTCACCTTCCTTACCATAGTTGGACAGATGAGTTAAGGAAATATGAACATTTTGAGCTCAGAGTTTTTCAACCTTGACACCATCGACATTTTCAACTAGATAATTCTTTGTTGAGAAGGGCTATCCTGTGCATTGTAGGACGTTTAGAAGCAGCCTGGCCAGTAGCACCTCACAAGTCATGACAATCAAAAATGCCTTCATAAGTCAGGCAGAGAAAGACAAATATCATGATATCACTTATCTGTGGACTCTAAAAAAATGGTATAAATGGACTTATTTACAAAACAGAAACAGACTCACAGATTTTGAAAACAACCTTATGGTTACCAAAGGGGAAACGTGCAGGGGAGGGATAAATTAGGAGCTTGGGATTAACATACACACACTACTATATATAAAATAGATAACCAACAAGGACCTACTGTTTAGCACAGGGAACTCTACTCAATATTCTGTAATAACCTATATGGGGAAAGAATCTGAAAAAGATGAATATATATATATATATATATATATATATATATATGTAGCTGAATCACTTTGCTGTACACCTGAAACCAACACAACATTGTAAATCAACTATACTCCAATAAAATTATTTTTTTTAGAGTGAATGATGGTTTTTATTTTTTTCTTGCTGCTTTGGGTCTTCGCTGATGCACGCGGGCCTTCTCTAGTTGCCATGAGTGGGGGCTACTCTTCGCTGCAGTGCGTGGGATTCTCATCCTGCAGAGGATGGGCCCTAGAGGGTACAGGCTTCAGCAGTTGCGGCGTGTGGGCTCTAGAGTGCAGGATCAGTAGTTGTGGCGCACGGGCTTTGTTTCTCCACAGCATGTGGGATCTTCCCCGACCAGGGATCGAACCCGTGTCCCCTGCACTGGCAGGTGGATTCCTAAACACTGCACCACCAGGGAAATCCCAATAAAATTCTTTAAAAAAAAATGTCTTCACATATTGCCAAACATCCCTGGGAGCAAAATAGTCCCCAGTTGAGAATTGCTGTTTTAGTTAAACCGGTATAGTTATCTTTGATTCTTGTCTTGTTTTGAGCCAAAACTTACATATCATTATAATTAATATATCAATAAAACTTTTACTTCTGTTTCCAAGAGAAGAAATATATAGTCTAGGTGTTATCACTGCCCCGCCCCCCTGGCCTGACACACACACACATATCACTAGCAATGGGGTTGTTGTTGCCATCTGACTGGTGAGGAGTCTGGTTCCAAAATTCCATCCTGAGGGCTGCTTTCTGGGGCCACTCTTGACCAACATGACAGTGTGGGTTCCTCATCTCATGTGAGTACTTTATTGGCAAGTGTGAGTCCAAGGATCAGGAGTGAAGGACAGGAGTTGTAAAACAGAGGAGAAAGGAGAGCTATTGCAAGGGTGAATTGCAATGCAATGGTGGAGGGGAGGAAGGAGAACCAGTGCAAGGGTGCAATTCTTTGTTGAGGGTGCTCTACAAAGAATTATCTAGTCAAATTGGCCACTTCCAAAGGCATTTGGTCGTTTGATCCTGCAAGACAGTTTGAAAGCTGTATGAAATATCTGAGGAGAGTCTGAGGGGAAAAAGAGAGAAGCATGTATTCATCAGTTACTGACTCCATCGGTCAAAGATTTGTCCCATGAGGCATTGACCGCTCCCCACTTCCGCACTTCTGGCTTGCACCTGTCCCAGTGCTGAACGGTTCCAGCAGTCCCATAATCCCAAGGTATCAAGACACAAGCCCTGATGCAGAAAGCGAGAAGCCCGAGTTATGGACTTGAGGTGAAGCTCACTTAGGTTACAGCTGCTGAAGCTGGAATAAGATCAGTGGTGGTGAAATAAGCAGCTGATGAAGCCAAGAGGATCTGCCATGGGGCATAAGAAGTGTTTGATACATTTGCACACCGAATTCGTGTGTTGCAATTCATTCCTGGTACACATTCAACCAAAGTACCCTGCACATACACACGCTAACTTCAGCTTTCTCTTTTTTTTTTTTTTTTTTTTTAGCGTTACGCGGGCCTCTCACTCTTGTGGCCTCTCCCATTGCGGAGCACAGGCTCCAGACGCTCAGGCTCAGCGGCCATGGCTCACGGAGCCTAGCCGCTCCACGGCATGTGGGATCTTCCCGGACCGCGGCACGAACCCATGTACCCTGAATCGGCAGGCGGACGCTCAACCACTGCGCCACCAGGGAAGCCCCAGCTTTCTCTTTATAAAATGAGGATAATCACCTCAAGCTTGCTGGATTGTTCTGAGAATTAGAGATCTGCACGTATAAAGCCTGATCACAATGTCAGTTCAATAAATACGCTCCGTATGTGTGTAACTATTTTATTAGTCAGATGTAATAAGCCATTCCGATTGACCATAGGGCCCAGTGTAGTGAGGCCAAAGTCAAAGGTTCCACCTTGTGTAGGCAGTGAATTTGGCTTATGCTGCTCAGACAGCCAGAACTTGATCGCTCTACAGTTAACCTTCAGTGAGCAACTATCGTGTCCCTGGTTCTGGGCTGCCTTGAGGACCTGGAGACCAGAGTCATTCCTGATCCTTCCCGCCAAAGCACTCCCACGCCGGCAAAGATAGGCAAACAATAACAACTGCCATGGTTTAAGCAAGCACAGGGGACTATGGGAGCAAAAGAAGTCCTGGGAGGCGAAGGCAGGCTTTCCCTAGGAGGAGGGAAGGGTACCGACATCTGGAGGGTTGTGTAGGTGATAACCAAGCAAAGACTGGCGGCGGGGCAAAATGTTTCTCACCGGCTCACTCAGTGCAACTTCACCGTCGTTTACTGGGCCCCTGCTATAGTCAAGGTGGTGGTCAGATGCCGAGGCGGGGACAGAGCGGGGAGCGAGGCCAATCTCCAGTCACCCCTCACTGCTCCAAGGGCATAAGGTAGACCGTCGCAGGAGTGAAGGAACAAATTACCTCACTTACGGGGGTGTCCCTAGGAACAGACATCATCCTTCCCTAGATCACTGATTCAACACTCAAAAACTAATTGACTCGTTCTCCCTCACTGGTTAATTAAATTTTTATGGCCAAAAAAGAATGGGGGGATTGATGACATTTTTTTCTTTTCACAATCGTCTTCCGTTACGCTACTTTATATTTCAATAAGAAAAGAGGTATAACCAAACATAAAGTAAACCCAGAATTCTCTGCGCCCCCCCACCCCCGGAGCGAGGTGAGCCAAGGCGGACCCTCTCACGTCCCCACCGGTCCGCCCAGCGCCACCTGCCTCTTTAAGAGCCGAAGCCTAGCCCTTCGAGGGGCCGCAGACGAAGCGAGCTTCGGTACAGTTGCCCGCAGAGGTCTCGGGAAGCGGCGTCTCCGGGAGGTGCTGTCTTTTTAAGGAGGCGGGGCTCTACCCGGAGGAGGTGGAGAAGGTCTGCCCCTCGGATCTCCGGTTTCCGGCAACTCGGCGGGACCGGAGCCTGCTCGCAGAATTTGAGGTCCGAGGCTTCCTCGCACCAGCTGGACGCCGAGCCCCGCGAGGTGAGGTGGCGGGGTCTGTGGGGCCGGCCCGGGACTGAGGGAGCTCGGGATCTCCTGCCCACCCGGGCCGCTGCGGCCCAGCTTCTCCTCCTAAAACACTGTCCGTGGTTCTTGGGTAGCTCTTTCCCAGACCGTCCTGGACTCACGGTGCCCCAGGCTGTAGGGTCCCCATCACTCCAGCGCCTACTAATTGCTTCGCTATGCACTAAGCGCCTTACACTTACTTGCCTCAGTTAATGGCACCCAGTATCGTGTGAGTAGGTACAATTATGAACCCATTTTACAGATGAGAACATTGAGGCCCCCCAGGAGCCCACAGTGTTACGGCCAGAAGCAGCAGAATCGGGAATCAAACCCAGGTCTGTTCGACTCCAGAGCCTGTGCCCTTAACCACTGGCTAGGCTGACAGCCTTTGCTCTCCACTGCCCTCATAGCCACCTCTCTCAAACCCCAGCCTCCCCTTCCTCATTCTTCCATCTCCAGGCTGCACCTGGCCCTTAAACACCCACACAGTGAGACTGCATGGAACCAATGGAGCCCCCCACCATTAGTTTTTTTTTTATAACGGTTTTAATAGTATCTGATGCTAAATGGTTATCTTTATATAAACCTATCGGATCCCACTAAAAAAGGACGCAAGGAAAAGCAATACCATTTCTAATGCTGAAATAAGATTCGTTTGTAGATTTTTTAATGTTATCGTGTGAAATTTATTTATTTTTCCTTTTTAGACCTCTGTAAATTATCTTCCTAATAATTGGGAGAAGACCCTTGGCTGAATGGCAGCTGTAGATGACTTGCAGTTTGAAGGTACATCCGTTGGGTGCCCACCTTTTATGATCAGTATTTCTGCAGTCACAGCAGAATTTCCATTGCTATGCTGGTGCATGTATTAAAGAAGATTATTTCAGACATCTTGGTAGAAGAATGTTTGCCACACTCAGGTTATTCTGTTTGTTCACATCAGCTGTTCTTTTTTGCCAAACAGCCCTTCAGATTGAAAATATCATACATTTAGGGCAGTGATTACAGAAAATGTTTATAGAGTTCTTGCTTTAGTTCAACAAGCATTTATTGAGCACCTGTTTTGTGCTTAGAATTCTGCTAGATACAGGAGATCAAAAGATAAAGGAGAAGCTTTTTACACTGGTAGAGTAGATAAAAGTGTAAAAAGATAATTATAATGAAATGTGATCAGGTCATTCCTTCACTGACTCAGTAAATCTCTCATGAGTGTGACCATGAACCAGGGAATTGTTCTAGTTACCAGGGTAGAAGAGTGAACAGTTTCTTCCCTTATGAAGCTCTCAGTGTAGGGAGGGAGACATTTATTTGTTAAATGATCATTTAAATATATATCTATAAACTATGAAAGTGCTGGAGGAAAAGTTCATAACTCACAACCCAGAGCCTGACCAAGCTGGGGATTGACGAACGCTCATTTGCCTTGTAAACACTTGTATAGTATTTCCTAAATGGCAGGCAGTGTTCTAAGTGCTTTACAAATATTTACTCATTTACTCCTTATGTCAACTTTATGACATAGTTATTTTATTCTCCCTATTTTACCAATGAGGAAACTGAAGCACAGGAAAATTAAGTCATTTGCTTAAAGGTTATAGTAAGTGGTAAAGCTGGGTTTGAACCCAGGCATCACAACATACGCTATCTTACTACTATCTAAGGAAGAGATACGATGTTTAAAGAGAAATCCACTTCATCGGCCAATACTGTCAGTTCCATCTGCAAAATACAACCAGCATCTGACCACTTCTCGCCACCTCTACCGCTATCCCACCGTGCTCAAGGTCACCATCACCTTATGTCTGGATTATAGCCCTTACCTTCCTTCAGGTCTTCCTGCATCCTCCCTTACCCCCCTACAGTCTGTATTTTGCAGCCAGAGTAGACCTTTAAAACCAAGTCAGATCACGTCATTCCTTCTAAAACTTCCAGTGGCTCCCGTCTCACTAGGAGTGGAAGGCAGAGCCCTTTCTGTGCTTAGGAGGCCCTACATGATCCAGGCCTCCACTGCCTCTGATTTCATCTCCTGCTACTCTAGCCCTTTCTCTCTGCCTACCCACATGGGCCTCATCACTGTCCCTCCTAGATGCCAGGTACACTAACAGCTTAGGGCTTTTGAGCCATCCTTCTGTTTGGGACATTCTTAGTCCAGATAGCCACATGGCTTGTTCCCTTGCTCTGCTTAAATCTCACTTCATTCCAGAGGCCTTCCTTGGTCATCCTATCTGGGAGTACAGTGCAAGAAAGTTCAAGTGTAAAGAACAGCACGTGCAGAGTACTTGAGAAGGGAGGAAGTCTGTTTCATTTTCTTTCCCAAGGAATTAAAAGAAGGCCAGAGTACCAGAGCACAGATGGTGGGGGAGGCCTGTCACAAGGTGAGGTTTGAGAGGAAGCAGGAGCCAAGTCACACAGGACTTTCTACACCATGTTAAAGACTTGGCTCTTTAGAAAAGAACACAGGGTGCTGTGGGGGTCGTGGAAAGCTTCTCCGAGGAAAAATGGTAGTGTTAAATGAAAACGTGAAGGTCAGGGCCCTGCAGGTGGGAGACATTGTGTCAGGAAAGGAACAGAGGCAAAACATAGCGTAGGATGTAGAAGCAGATAGTGTTGGTGGCAGAAATAAGAAACATACCAGTCTTGCCCTCAAGGCACTGAGATGGACAAGAATAACTAATACAGAGCAGAATATGTGAATAGTCATGTGCGAGGTACACACATCCTACATTAAAATCAGACTTTCCACCTGCTGTTCTTCACACACGGAACACATTTTCTGTCTTCTGGGTCTTGCTCATCCCATACGCTTTGCCTGAGATGCCATCCCCACTGCTTCTGGCCATCCTTCTCATACGGCATCTTTTCCAAGTAGCCTTTCCTAATCCCATCAACTAGATGAGTTATCATCTCTTGAACCTCTTTGGACTTGATACCTCTAAAGTGACACTCTCTGTTCCTCCTTCTGGCATGTCATTTCCCCTGGTAAACTACTGTTTTTAAAATATGAAACTTAAATATATCTTCCCTGGACTGATTCCCTCAGGCAAAGTTATAACCATCTTTTTAAATGTCAGTGCCCTGTCCAGTCAGTAAATGATAGCAATAACAGTATTTATTATCTCATATCATCCTCAGAATCTCTCTGCGAGATAAGTATTGTCTACTTTTTATAGTTGAAGAAACAGAGACTCAGAGATATGGAGTGATTTGCCCAAGGTCATGGAGTGCTAGAGTCTTAGCTTAAACAGAGGACCCTCTCATTCCAGAGCCTCATGCTGCCAAAACATGGGAGACTGAAGCTTGAGTAGTTGTTACGGATCAGCCACCTCATTAACTTCAGTCACTTTAATTCTCTCCATAAAACTATTTGCGTAGCTGAAAGGCAGTAAGATTGGGCTCGATTATCCAAGAGCCCCATCCTACTGCCATGATTGTAGTGTTACAGTGGTGCCCTGCTGGCCTCCTTCCTGAGTCCTGCCAAATTCCACAGCTGCCCTAAATTTTATCTAAGAGCAGCTAAATAAAGTTTGTTAGGATGCCCAGAGACAGGAAGTCACAATCATGGCTGGTGGACATGAATAGGTGAGGTTCTTTTGGAGAACAGTTTAGCAGTATGGCTCAAGAGCCTTAAAGATGGTCTGCACCCTTTGACCTGGTGATCACACTGATAGTGTTCATACTAAGGCAATAACCCCAAAAGCTTTCTCCTCACAGATGCTCCTTACAGTGTTATTTGTACTGATGAAAAACGAGAAGCACCCAAACATCCAATAACAGTGGAATAATTGTGTTAACTTGTGGTGTCTCTCTCCTACTCTTCCCACCTCCAGCTGATGAACTGTTATGTAGCCACATAACTGGTCATTTTAAAGACTGACATAATATGAAAAAAATAATTTTTTCTATAATCCCTGGCAGATGGAGCAGGGTACAACATTGTTTACATAGTACTGTCGCATCCTAAATCAGTACTTGGTACACTGTAGGCACGCAGTAAATATTTGTTGAGTGAATGATCATCGCTGGCATGAATCTACTCTATAGAGAAAAGGAAATACACCAGAAGTTAATAGTGTTTGCTTTTATGTGGATGGGACTAAGAGTGATTTTTATTCTGTTGTTTCTACTTTTTTTTTTTTTTTGCGGTACGCGCGCCTCTCACTGTCGTGGCCTCTCCCGTTGCGGAGCACAGGCTCCGGATGCGCAGGCTCAGCAGCCATGGCTCACCAGCCTAGCCGCTCCACGGCGTGTGGGATCTTCCCGGACCGGGGCACGAACCCATGTCCCCTGCATTGGCAGGCGGACTCTCAACCACTGCGCCACCAGGGAAGCCCTCTACTTTCATTTTTGTCCTCGTGTTTTCTGTAGTGATTACATAGGACTTATTGGAAAAAATAACTTCCATTAAGTTTTTTTGAACTTGAATCAAAGAAGAGAGGGTTAGATTGGTTACCTGCTACTGGCCAGGCACTCTGCTAAGGGCTTTACTTGAGTAATATTCCTAACTTTCCCAAAATTCCTGAAAATAAATATTATTCTCCCCATCGTATAGATGAGAACACTGAAGCTTATAGAGGTTAAGTTACTCAGGCTTGAATACTTAGTAAGTAACTGAGCCAGGACTAAAATTCTGGTCTGACTTCAAATTCTGTTGTTTTCATAATCATTTTTCTTTGTCAGCTTGATTTCTAGATGAGATTTTTTTTCAGAGCCTTTTGCCACTTGTCTCAGATAGGGCCTATAGCAAAGCTGAGGTTGTAACAGCTTGTCTTTAAATTAAAAGTATGGCATTTCCAGTGTGGGTAAGGTCACTGATACCCTTGTACTCTAATTGATTTCAGAATTTGGTGATACAGCTACTTCTCTAGCAGCAAACCCAGATGCCACCACAATAAGCATCGAGGATCCTGGTGAAACCCCAAAACACCAGCCAGGACCCCCAGGAGGCTCAGGGAGAGAAGAGGATGATGAGTTACTAGGAAATGATGACTCTGACAAAACTGAGGTTTGAACTTGTCTTTTAAATTGTTTTTTTCTTTTACCTTTTTTTTTAACATCTTTATTGGAGTATAATTGCTTTACAATGGTGTGTTAGTTTCTGCTTTATAACAAAGTGAATCAGCTATACACATACATATATCCCCATATCTCCTCCCTCTTGCATCTCCCTCCCACCCGCCCTATCGCATCCCTCTAGGTGGTCACAAAGCACCGAGCTGATCTCCCTGTGCTACGCAGCTGCTTCCCACTAGCTATCTATTTTACATTTGGTAGTGTATATAAGTCTATGCCACTGTCTCACTTCGTCCCAGCTTACTCTTTTAACTTTTAAGAACCTCGCTCACACATTTATTCACTGTCTCCTGTGTGCCAGGTAGAATGCCAAGCAGTGGCGACAGGAAGGTAAATCATGTAAATCAAGGTAAAACTGCCTTGGGGGAGAAACAGACAAGCAAACAGACCATTGTTACCCATGGGAAGCATGCTGGGGTTGTGGGAGCAGAGACAGGGGGGTTACAGAAGGCTTCCTGGAGGCGGTGACATTTAAACTGAATCTTGTTGAAAGAATAGGCGAACCCAGGAAGAAGGTGTGGAAGGTGATCTGGGCAAAGGGAACAGTTTTGGTGACGTCACAGAGGCATGACAGAACATGGTACAGAAAGCACATCTTCCATCTTCATGTACGTTGGGAGCAAAATATAGGTGGAGACAGGAGATGAGGCTCACAGATAGGCAAGGACTCAACCCCCTGAGTATGAATTGTATTCTGAAAACTGTTGGGAGCCGTTGAAAGATTTAAACAATATGACCAGATGCATTTAAAGATATTTAAGATACAGTGGCCCTGTGGAGTATGAGTTGGCGGGAGACGGACTAGAGGCCAGAAAACCAGGTAGGAGACTGGTGAAGTGGCCTGAACTAGAACTGGATACAGATGTGTAGCAGATGGGCTCCCTAGGACTTGGTGGAAAAGGGGTGAGGAAGAGAGGGAAGATTCTATGGAGAGTTCTAGGTTTCTGCATCCGGTTGAATCTTGAATATCAGAGCTGTTTTTGATCACAAAAATTTACCTGCATGTACACTGTTGGTGCATTCCGGAAAAACAGTATTTCTAGTAATATTTTATAAATGGATCATGATCGTGATTCACTAGAGGAGTACTCAGTTTATAGCAGTGTGTTCACAGGCTCCTGAAATAGTGGAGTGGCAAGTGCTCTTCGTGGAACTCCATGCAATATCAAAATAAGTACCAAAGTGTATGTCAGATTAAATAGCACTGTGTACTAGATATTGTGGCAAGAGCTCAGACTTAGGAGCCTGAGTTTGAATCCAGGTCTGCCCAGTAGTAATAGCTCTGTGGTCTTGGATAAGGTACTTTAATTTCCCTAAACCTGGATTTCCTCATTGGAAATATAAGAAAATAGTATACTGGCTATTGTCATCATTATCATCACAAGAGCTAATATTTATTCAGTGTTTAATAGCTGCCAGGTACCATTTAAAGTTCCTTACTTGGATCATCTCATTTAATCCTTAAAACAACGCTGTGCAAGGAACTATTCTCAGCTTCATTTTGTAAATGAGAAACCGGAGGCACAGAATTTAAGGGACTTGCCCCAGGACACACAACTGGCAGGTAGAGATGGAACTTTAAAGCAAGGCACTCTGAGTCCCTCTGTATCAGAGTAGTGTATGTTAAGTGCTTATCAAAGTCGTTGGCACCCTCAGGATACAGGAATGATTTTTAGTATAACTGAGTGTATTAATTAGTTGCGGTTCTCCAGAGAAATAGATCAATAGGATATGTATATGTAGAGAAAGAGATTTACTTTTTTTTAAATTGGTTCACATGATTGTGGATGCTTGGTGAGTCCAAAATCTGATGGAGGATGCTGGCAGGCTGGAGACTCAGGAAAGAGAATTTGAATCCAAAGGCATTGTGCTGGAGAAGTAGGAAGAGCTGATATTGCAGATGAAGTCTGAGGGCATCTGCTGGAGGAGTCCCTCTTGCTCAGGGGCTCACAGCCTTTGGTTCTCTTCAGGCCTTCACCTGATTGGCTGTGGTCCACCCACATTATGGAGGGCAATCTGCTTTATTCAAAAAGTCCACCAATTTAAATGTAAAGCTCATCCAAAAACACCCTTACAGAAACATCCAGAACAATGTTTGATCAAATATCTGGCATCATGGCCCAGCCAAGTTGACACATAAAATTTACCATCACACTGAACAACAGCAGCCATCAAAAGTTTAAGAAGAAATGTATAGGGAAAAAATCTTAAAACTGAAAACATTATATCCATTATCCTAATTTCGTCAGGGAATCGGGAAGAGGTTACCAATATTCTATGATAGTGACAGAATTTCTTGACCTAGCTTATGGAACATGGGTCTCTGGTGTTCAGTATCTTGCAATATTAGAGTTGGAAAGAATCTACAATTTCCTCTACAATAAGTCCCCTACATACGAACCTTCAAGTTGCAAACTTTAAAAGATTCGAACGTGTGTTCGCATGTCCAGTCATGTAAGTTCATGTGTCTGGCGTACATTGTCACATGTGTGCATCCTCTACAAGTGTTTGTGCTTTTGTGAACTTTACTGTACAGTACTGTATAGAGTGCAGTATCTTTATTTCAAGCCCAGGATGTCCAGAAGCAAGCGTAAAAGCAGCGGTGATATAGCTGGTACAGAACTACCCAGACATCACTGGATCGTTTTTTTAAGAGGGTAGATAGAATTGAATCCAGCAAGGAACCAGAACCTGTGCCATCAGTGGCAGGAGTGAGTGAAATTGCACCTTGCCCTCCATGTCCTATTGCTGAAGATCCTTCAGCTCTACCATCTCCCACCTCCTCTCCCTCCTCCAGTCAGTAACTCTTCTTGCCTGTTCACTCAGTGTCAGCCCCTGTATGCCAGCTGTTATACTGTACTACTGTACTTTTCAAGGTATTGTACTGTAAGATTAAAAATGTTTTCTTGGGCTTCCCTGGTGGCGCAGTGGTTGAGAGTCCGCCTGCCGATGCAGGGGACACGGGTTTGTGCCCTGGTCCGTGAAGATCCCAGATGCCGCGGAGTGGCTGGGCCCGTGAGCCATGGCCGCTGAGCCTGAGCGTCCGGAGCCTGTGCTCCACAACGGGAGAGGCCACAACAGTGAGAGGCCCGCGTACCGCAAAAAAAAAAAAAATGTTTTCTTTATTTTTTGTGTTTGTTTTTCATGTATTATTTGTGTGAAAAGTATTATAAACCTATTACAGTGCAGTACTGTATAGCTGATTGTGTTCGTTGGGCACCTAGGCTAACTTTGTTGGACTTAGGAACAAATTGGATTTCCAAACGCACTCTCGGCATGGAACTTGTTTGTATACAGGGGACTTCCTATATTTCAGCTTCCCTCTCAAGATATTAACACTGTCCGTGGTATGTCAGAAAGACAGCACTTGAATACCTCTAGGAGCAGGCTGCTCATGACCATGTAAAGCAGCCCCGACCACTTTTGGAAAACTTTAATGGTGGAAAATTTTTCCTTATAGTGAACAAAAAATATCTGCCTATAGTACCTTCCCTTGTCTTGCAAAAGTCCTTAGAGTGCATCTGTACTTTTTGCTGTATGAATCTTCTTCAGATATCTGAGGATGACAGTCACACTTCCTGGCATGGGACGTGCATTCTTCTGTAGAGAGCTGTGCTCTTGGTACAGGCGTGGCCCTCCTAGTGCGCCTCTTCTAAATAGGAATTTTGGTTTTTTGTTAGAGCAGTATATTTTAAGTTTTTAATTCTTTAGAGTGAGTCAGTATATCAGATTTTTGAGAATTCAGGTGGTGATAGTAGTGAGGATGTTGAAGCGGAGGAAGGGGAAAAGATATTTACACTGACTGCCTTCTGTAGGTACATGTTTGTGTGTGTGTATATACATATATATGTTGTTTTGCATAGTAATTAAGCTAGTCCTTCCTGTTATCCTATAAGGTAGATCTTGTTACCTGTACTTTTTATTTTTTTAATTATTTTATATATTTTTTTGCGGTACACGGCCTCTCACTGTTGTGGCCTCTCTCGTTGCGGAGCACAGGCTCTGGACGCGCAGGCTCAGCAGCCATGGCTCACGGGCCCAGCAGCTCCGCGGCATGTGGGATCCTCCCGGGCCGGGGCACGAACCCACGTCCCCTGCATCGGCAGGCGGACTCTCAACCACTGCGCCACCAGGGAAGCCCACCTGTAGTTTTTAGATAAGGAAGACTGAGATGAGTCTAGTGATTTGATGAAGCCATCCCCTAGTGGAGGGACCAGGATTTGAAACCTTTTGGTGTGTCTTCAGAACTGATGCTTTTATGTCAGGCTGAGAATTGGGCATGGCTGTGGTAAAAGTGATTGATGAATGCAGAAGAGTTTTGTCTTTCGTACATCTTGATTTTCCATTAGACCCTCTCTCTTTCTGTGGGTAGCTAGAATAAGGAAATTGCTTCTGTGTTCATTACGTTTTTTATTTTACCTCTGACAGTTACTTGCTGGACAGAAGAAAAGCTCCCCCTTCTGGACATTTGAATACTATCAAACATTCTTTGATGTAGACACTTACCAGGTTTGTAAACCAGATTTACCTTTCTTTTGTCGTATAATGCAGACTTGTTCCTTCTATGGTTAAACAATCGAGTAACGTGAAAGGTTTTGTATACTGGATATGGTCTTCAAAAGTAAAAGGTCAATTAGCATTTGAAAGTACTAAATGAAATAATAAAAAAACTACTAAATAAATAATAAAAGCTCTAATCACTGAGTTTCAGTTTTGCAGTGCAAACTTATTAAACTTTAAGAAAAAAAATCTTCAGTAGACTTAACTGCTGTGCTCTTTTGCAGGTCTTTGACAGAATAAAGGGGTCTCTTTTGCCAATACCAGGAAAAAACTTTGTGAGGTTGTATATCCGCAGCAACCCAGATCTCTATGGTATGTGTAGTGCTGTTTTGATTCTTTTCCATGTCCCAGCTAAGCCCAGGTGAGTGTGCGGGTTGCCTGGAAAGTCGGAGAAGCGCACTGTTGGTGGGGCACGTGGTGTTTTATTTGACTCTTCTGAGCTTTGGTAGCAACTGTTGCAAAGAATTTGGAGAAAATGCAATTGTATGTTCTATTAATGCGCTGATGACAAGTAATAGTATGTCCTTTGAAAGTCTTCAAATGACATTACAAATTCAAGACAGATTAAGTCACTTGTGTAAGAGGAGATTGTTGATTTTAATTTTAGAGGATTTCGTGGTGGGGGTGAATGTGGAGGAGCTTCTCTCATGCTTATTCATGATGTGCTGAGTTCCATCTCTGCACAGGCTGGCTTCCCCTTGAAAGTCTGTAAGAGGATGGGCCAGGGGATAATGTCATTCCGACCTCCCTGCTATCCGAGAAGGGATCAGAGGTCCATCCAGTGATCCTGAAGGAAAGGGTTCCAATAACGGTGGCCCGTGTTTGAGGGGAGAAGAGAGCCGGCGGCTCTGAGTGCTTCTGTTTGCAGGTGCTGTACGAAAGACTTGGTGCACACGGGCACACTTAATTCTTGCATCAACCTTTGGGTAGGTATTATTATCCCCGTTTTTCAAAAGAGGAAGCTGGTGCTCAGTGGGGTTCAGTAATATATATGCTCAATCCTAAACATTAAGTTTTAGAGTGATTATACTTGTTGATTATAAGAGGAAAAGGAATTCAGGAGAATCTATTGTGTGCCAATCACTACATACACTCTTTAATCCTTTTCAACAAGGCTATGTATTAAGTACTCTTATCCCTGTTTTCCATGTGAGAAAACTAAAACTGGGATTTGAAACATCATGGATGAACTTGGAGGGTGTTAATGCTTAGTGAGATATGTCAGACAGAGAAAGACAAATGCTATATGGTATCACTTATATGTGGAATCTAAACACTAAAACAAACTAGTGAATCTAACAAAAAAGATACAGACTCACAGATATAGAGAACAAACTAGTAGTCACCAGTGGGTAGAGGGAAGGGAGGAGGGTCAAGATAAGGGCTAGGGGATTAAGAGGTACAAACTAGTTAAGTATAAAATAAATAAGCTATAAGGATATACTATGCAGCACAGGGAATATAGCAAATATTTTATAATAACTATAAATGGAATGTAACCTTTAAAACTTGTGACTCACTGTGTTGTACACTTGAAACTTATGTAATATTGTAAATCAACTATACATCAGTTAAAAAGTAAAAGTAGGGCATTCCCTGGTGGTCCAGTGGTTAGGACTCTGAGCTTCCATTGCAGGGGCCACGGGTTCAGTTCCTGGAACTAAGATCCCGCAAGTTGCACAGCGTGGCCCAAAAAAAAAAAAAAAAAAAAGTAGAACTAGCTCCTAGTTCAGTTTTATGTAAAAGCCCCCATTTATTCTATTAGACCGGTGTTTTTAAGCTACAGAACCTTTTCATCAAATGGCACGGATGTCCAATATTTAAAACCAGTCAAAGTGGAGCAGCTCTGATGGAGGTTGAGGAAAGTCTCCCTTCCACTCAGCTTCCTCCCTCAGGGACAGACACAGAAGTTCCATCCAGATGTCCATGGAATTGCTGGAGCTCCAGTGAGCATAGTGTGAAAACCGTTGCCTTGGCCCAGGCCTCTCAGCTAAAGGTTGCCAAGGTGGCATTTCTTTTTAGCTCTCATTCATCCTTACTTCTAGCCTGAGAACTTCTTGAGAAGCAGACTCCGTGTCTGAGGAATCCACGTCGTCAGCACCTGGCAGAGGGCGTGGCACAGAGTAGGTACTCAAGCAGTTTTTGAGCACCTTATTTTGTGCTAGAGACTGAGGATTCAAAGATAAAGTCATGATCTCCATCCCCAAGGAGAAAGAAGAGAGGGACCCAGCGTTTGTTGAGCACCTAACAGGTGCCACGCATGGAGTTCAGCACTCTTTTACTGTGTTACACTGTTTTATTTCCCATGCTCCAAGGTAGCCTTATCTTACAAAAGAGAAAAATTGAGGTTCGGGGAGGACAGCCTGCCCATAGTCATAGAGTTAGCAACAACAACAACAACAATAATAATAGCAAACACACATAGAAGGCTTGATATATGCCAGACACTGTTATTAGGGAACAACCTGTATTAACTCATGTAATCCTCATAATAACCCCAACTTTATGAGGTAGGTACTATTATTATCCCCATTGTATAGATGAGGACACTGTGTGGCACAGAAGTCTAGCAACTGGCCTAAGATCACACAGCTAGTAAGTGGCGGAGGATTCAAATCAGTACTGTAGCTCATAATCCATATTCTTCATCACTGTGTTTGGCTGTCTCTCGTGACAAGGCCAGGATACGAACCCAAAGCATCCTTCTTCCCACAACACTACTAATCTCACGAGCCCATAGACATGGTTAAAAAAAGAAGGTACAATATCGGTAAAGTGTTTTCTAGCAGAGAGGGCTGGGCCTCGTGGGGTGGGTTGGAAGAAAGTGGTCAGGAACAAGATGACAGAAGAGCCAGTCTGCAGAATCTGAGGGAAAGACTGATGAATTTGACTACATTTAAACTAAAATATAAAATTTCTGGGCTTCCTGGTAGTGCAGTGGTTAAGAATCTGCCTGCCGATGCAAGGGACATGGGTTCGAGCCCTGGCCCGGGAAGATCCCACATGCCGCGGAGCAGCTAAGCCCGTGCGCCACAGCTACTGAGCCTGAGCTCTAGAGCCCGCAAGCCACAACTACTGAGCCCACCTGCCACAACTACTGAAGCCTGCACGCCTAGAGCCCGTGCTCCCAACAAGAGAAGCCACCGCAATGAGAAGCCTGCGCACCACATCGAAGAGTAGCCCCCGCTCACCGCAACTAGAGAAAGCCCATGCACAGCAACGAAGATCTAACACAGCCAAAAACATAAATAAAAATTTCTACACCACAAAATAAACCATAAGCAAGGTAAAAAATAAACCACAGACCAGAGATAATATTTCAATGCACATAACCCACAAAGGATGCAAAGCAAGTGTACATGTAGGCTACCTACCAATTATGAGAATAAAACCAAGTATAAGTTCTGGGGGAAAATGAGCAATTCACAGAAAAGGAAACCCAAATGGCCAATAAATATAGGAAAAGATAGTTATCCCTACCTGAAATAAAAAACAGGATATTATTTATGTCCATTATTTTAGGAAGCATACAGATTGGCTTGTCTTCATTCATTCATTCAATTAATTCAACAAACACAGAACACTTACTCTTCTAGGCACTGGAGGTACAGTAGTAAATAACACACAAAAATCCCTGCCCTGAGGGAGTTTATAATCTAAGTTTAACAATAGACAAAGAAAATAGGTAAAATATCAATACATAGTGTGCTAGTGATAAATGCTAAGGTGAACATTTAAAAGCAGAGAAGAAAGACAGTAAATGTTTGTGTAGGTGGGTGGATTTGAAATTTAAAAACTTTTTAAATTTATTGAGTAAATGCCTGAAGGAATTGGGAGCAATACATATAGGTATCTCAGGGAAGAGCATTTGAAACAGAGAGCTCAGCACGTGCAAAGGCCCAGGGGCAGGAACTTGCCTCATGTGCTCAAAGAATAGTGAAGAGTCTAGTGTGACTGGGCCAAAGTGAACAAGGGTGTCTAGTGGCTGAGGTCAGAGGGACAGTGTGGAGGGACCCATCATGTAGGGTCTTGTAAGCAAGTGAAGACTTTGGCTTTTGCTTGAGTGAGATGCCATCGAAGGGTCTGAACAGAGGAATGACCTACTCTAAGTCAGCTTTTCATAAACATTGATACCAACTATTGCCAAGAATGTGGAGCAAGGGGAACTTTTGTATAATGTGGGTGGGTATGTAACTGGTGCCACAAATTGGAGCAGTTTGAAGATGCTCATACCCTACAACTTAGCAGCTCTACTCCTAGATAAATAGTCTTAGAGAAACTCACATATATACAAGAAGGCATGTAGAAGAATATTATTATCCATTACCTCAGCATTGCTTGTAATAGCAAATATTTAGAAATGACCAAAATATTCATCAGCAGGAGCATGGATCAGTAAATTATGGTGTGTTCATATACGGAATTTTGTAGGTTTTAGAAATGAATGTGATCTATAAGCATCAACATGGATACATCTCAGAACGATAGTCAGTTAAAAAAAAAAGCATGTTGTAGAAGGATATAAGTAGTATGACAGCATTAGAAAGATTTGAAAAAGAGGCATGATGGGTATACCACTTTGTTTTATCATTTTGGGGCTTTTCTGTATGTTAGAAATATTTTATAACATAAAATGCACAATAAAAACTAAATTAATGCTCCCTCCCACCCCACCCCATAATTAGAGTAGGAATTTGGCAGGAACGAGGAAGAAAGAAGACAGAATGAAGCATTGTGGCAGGCCTGGTGGTTGTGTTTCTCTAGAGGCCAAGCAGGTGGTTGTGTTTCTCTAGAGGCCAAGCTTCCTGTGTGCCTGAGTGCACCAGAGGCAGCAACTGTGTCTGTCACACATCACTGTGTCCCCAGCACCAGCCCAGGGCCCAGAGGATAGTAGGTATTTAGTAAATAATGGCTGACAGGATCCGATAGTCTCTGCTTTCTAGTTACGGGTACTATAATATTTTGACCACTTGTGGTCGCATGCTTTGATGGTCTCAGCCCATCAACAGCACGTCAGTTTTGTTCATTTGTTCAATAAAGCTTTTGGGGATTTTTAAATTATTGTTGTCGGTTGTAGGGTTTTTTTTTTGTTGTTGTTGTTAAATATTTTATGTGTTAGTCACTCAGAATAATACAGTGAACAGGATCTAATCCTTGGCTATATCAGGGCGCCTGCAGGCTAGTGAGTAAATGGCACTCCTTGGGAAGCTGATGTTGGTGGCTCTTCGGAGCCTCCCAGTCAAGTGCTTGCGCTCCCTTTCCCATCTTAAGGAAGCAACTTGACTTCGAAAAGCGCTCATGCATTTCTGCTAGTCATCTCTCCCAACACAATAATTTTCTTAATTTAATATGTCCAGGTGCCTGCAGTTATCCCCAAAGATATTGCAGAATATTAGTGAAATTGAAAAATGAAATTCATAAAATTTATTAAAATCTCTAAATTTAAAAATTGTATTTGTTCTAATAGTCCTTTTTCTAGATGGGGAGAAACAAGGATGGTGTTCGTGAAATCAAGCGAAATAATGAAAGGGATTTACAAAGCATGGTGCAGTCATCCACTTAGCGGAATTTTTTATAATCACTAAAAAAGAATTAGCTGATTTTTATGAATAGCTATAGTAGAATCTCCAGAACATAATAAGGTGGAAATACATATGCTTGTTAGCGTTTGTATAAAGCGCGTGCACACACACACACACACAAATATGCATTTGCTTATATGTGTATAGGAATCTCTGGCAGGATTCACCAGAAACTGGTTACAGTGGTGAGCTCTGTGGAAGCAAAATGCATAGCTAGGGAACAGAGAGGAAAGGAATTTTACTTTTCTCTGTATTCTCTTTTTGTGCCTTTTGAACTATGTGCATGTATTACTTTTTGATTAAAAAAAAAAGAAAAAAAATAAAGACACACGTACACATACACGGTGATTTGTTAGATTAAATGAACCCTTTCCTAAAGTGTTCTGCTTGCCCTGCTCTTCCATTTAGACAACAAAGGACCTATCTGATTTAAAATATTTTTCTCTGGCATTAACATTTGGTACTTATGTAAAGGAAGTAACCTTTGCTTCCTGTATCCTGGTGGTGAAGGTTTAACAAAATGTCCATAAATTTTTTTTGATGATCCTCCAATACAAGAAACTATAAGCAAATCAGTGTCTTTATTCATGGAAGGTGTTTTGGTCTGTGCATTTCAATCCCCCTTGTCTTTAAGGCAGCTAATTACTGAGTTGCATGTTTGACCTTTTAAAAAAGAAAATCCCCACTAAACGAGTACTGATTCCATCTAAAATTCATTTTCCCTTCCCTTTAGATTCCATCTAAAATTCATATTCACCTCACATGAATAGGGTGAGGGAGATAAGAAATTATTTTGTGAGAGCCTAAAAGCTGGTTCTTCATTTTCTTGTCTGAATTTTCTGGTTTGCTTTGCAGGCCCCTTTTGGATATGTGCCACGTTGGTCTTCGCCATAGCAATTAGTGGGAATCTTTCCAACTTCTTAATCCATCTGGGAAGGAAGACATACCATTATGTGCCCGAATTCCGAAAAGGTTGGTGAATAGCTTGACTCATTTGGAATGCTGTTAGTTGGTAACCGTGAGTTCTTTCTACCCACTGAGCTCTTAGACCCCTGTCTGTAGGTCCTGCAGCCCTTTTTTTCTGTCTTTAAGGGCCCAAAATTAATCATCCGTCTATATAAATCCACATAGTCTTTTTATTTTCTATTGTGGTAAAATATATATAACCTACAATGTACCATTTTAACCATTTTTAAGTGTATGGTTCAGTGGCATTAAGTATATTCAATATTGTGAATCCATATACTCTTTTGGAATACTGGAAAGCAAAGGCCCCATAGCAATCGGAATTTATCCAAAGAAAAATGTACAAAATAAGTAAAAAGCAGTGTGCGTGAAAGTCTCCACTGTAGCATTATTTGTATTATCCAAATGTTGGAAACAATAGGGGCATTGTTATTTAAGGCATGATGACTCAGCTAGCTGGGTCTGTAGCCATTAATTATGAAGCACTTAGAGCAACATGGAAAACTCATAATCCACACTTAGGCCGGGGGCTTCCCTGGTGGCACAGTGGTTGAGAGTCCGCCTGCCGATGCAGGGGACACGGGTTCGTGCCCCGGTCTGGGAAGATCCCACATGCCGCGGAGCGGCTGGGCCTGTGAGCCATGGCCGCTGAGCCTGCATGTCCGGAGCCTGTGCTCCGCAACGGGAGAGACCACAACAGTGAGAGGCCCGCGTACCACACACAAAATAAAAAAACAAACTTAGGCCAGTTCTGTTAGCAGCTTTGTTAAAGAGAAGTTTACAAATGGTCAGGGCCCAGGAGGGAGAATGCAGAAGTGAACGTGTCCTAGTGATGGGCTTGTGGATGACGTGCTTAGTTTAAAACATCCTTTCTTGTGGCAGTATTGGATAGCTGGGGGAAAAAAACCAAACAGCTTTGAGGGATTTGTAGATGTCAGCCACCCCAAGTTGGAGGTGTTTGGCTCTGCAGGAGATTGGCCTGTGCCACTTTCTCCATTCTCTCCTTCCCTCCCTCCGTCCCTTCTGGCCTGCTCTCCTGTTGAAAGGCTGTATAAGAGCATGGGCTCGGGAACCAGGCCATCGGCTTCAGGCTCCAGCTCCACCATTCACTAGCTTCTACCTTGCTGGGCAAATGATTTCATCTCTCTTGGCCTCAGATTCCTTATCAGTGAAATGGGAATAAGAATACCTATATTATAGCGCTATTGTAAGAATAAAGAAGTGATGTATGTAAAGAGGTTAGAATAGTGCCTTGTACAAAAAGAGTTCAGTAAAATTAACTATTGCTATATATGTATGTACACATATCTGTGTGTCTGTAGAGAAATGTATTTACCTGTGTGTATGTCCATGTAGCCTTCTTTTCGTCCCCTCTACCCTCCATGCCCATTTTCCCTTCTTCTCTCCTCCATTATGGAGTCAGACCTGGATTCAGTCCCAACTCCATTTGTCAAGTAACCTGGGTTTAAGTTTAACTGAATAAATGTTATCCATGAACTATCAATATGCCTTCAAGTAGCTCAGTGGTTAAGTAAAGAAAAACAGGTAAATGGATATTGCTGTAACAAATGGTATGTGTTAATTTCTATATCAGAAGTCTGTATAGGTATATTGACAGAGAAGAGGAGTGAATCACCCTGCCTGAGGGTGCGGAAGCTGTGGGGGGAGCGGGGAGGGCAGGGGTCAGGGGTCCTTGTCTGTTCTTATCCTGTTTAGCTGGGCATCCCAGTGGGAGTCATGGGATGTATGTGCCAGTAAGATAGTCATTGACTCGATCAATAAATATTTTTCCATTTTATGTAAAGATTATAAGTCACACATCCAAGGTCATGTCCCGCTTCTACCACTTATTAATTATTTGACCCCCAAACCACTTAGCTCTCTGATCCTGTTTCCTCATCTCTAAATAAAGATATAGATTATATGAAATAATGTGTTTATATACAAGTTAACAATATAAAAAGCTTATTCTTGATTGGGCATTTATTATTTATCAATCAGTGTTCTAAATATACGTGTTTTTACTCATTGAATTCTCCTAATAATCTTATAAGGTGGTGTACTATTATTATTCCCATTTTACAGATGAGAGGTAGGAAGGTTAAGTAACTCACCACCCAGGTCTACTCAGCTGTAAGTGGCAGAGCTAGGATGAGAGTCTGCATATACAGTCTGTAGCTCTGACTGTTGAACAACATTACCTCTCAGTAAAGCACTCAGTGTAATGCCTGACACCCAGTGGACAGCTGTAGTCACTGTAGCAATTCCCTTCCCCTCCCGTTAGTTATTCAAGAAAAAGGCAGTATATCAGCAGAATTACATTTGGCTTAATGCTGGAGTTCCCCGTGTGAAAAAAACTGCTCTGGGAGCTGAAAATGTTTTAGACAATCACATATCTTACCCAGAGTCTGACTGTAGTTGCTAGGACTGCCTTTGTTCTTGCCAAGAGCGTTCAGTGGATTACCTGGTGACTTTCATCTGGGAAGGGCTGGTGTTGCGGACTGAGCCGTTCACTCCGGAAGAGGGAGGATGAATCCTCTAGGGCGTGCTGCTAGAGGAGGGGGAGGGAGGGACAGTAAGTAATACACTGAGCATTGCTCCTCTGAGGAGCCGCTAAGTAGCATTTCCACCACAGAGACCGAATTATTTAAAGAAGAAAGTGGAACTGGAGACTATTCCAAGCAATTCATCGGTGAGCTGGAACTCCCTATTTCAGAGGCAGAAGGAACTCTAAGTAGCACGTAAAACAAGTTAATCTGAACCCAGGTCATTTTCGTAAATTTGCTAAAGAAATCAGTGTCAGCTCTTGTTATATTAGGAAGGAAGATGTGTTCTTCCAAGGGGATAGTTGACTTGTATTTGATTGAAATGTTCTGTGTATTTAAACACTTGCAGTGTGGCCCTCGGAAGTATTTCAGTTGCATAATTCAGTTGTTTAATACTATTAGTTGTTAGTAATTAAGTGAATTATAGAAACCATAGGAAAGACTACTGGTCATCACCACAAACACAAATGCTAAAGGGGCATGGATTCAGCACATTTATAGAGCACCTACTGCTTGTTGGGTACTGTGCCAGGCTCAGGGGTTGAGACCAGTAAGACACGATCCCCTGATCCAGTGAGGCAGGTGGACACTCCTGCAGGAAGGAAGTCCAGCAGGTACCAGAAGTGCCGTGACAGTGCATTAAAGGCGTGGTGCAATTAAAACTTGTGTCCTCTCACCCTCAGTGTCCATCGCAGCCACAATCATCTATGCCTATGCCTGGCTGGTTCCTCTTGCACTCTGGGGTTTCCTTGTGTGGAGAAACAGTAAAGTTATGAACATCGTTTCCTATTCATTTTTGGAGATTGTGTGCGTCTACGGATATTCACTCTTCATTTATATCCCCACAGCGGTAAGTACCACACTGATTCTGAGTGAGGCCCTGTTCTTAGTGGAAAATTCAACCAGCATCACTGATGTGCATCTGAAAAATACCCCTTGCATTTAGAAGTTTAGTGGGAATGGAGGCCAGGGAGCCAAGTGCTTTCCCTGGATCTTGAGCCCTTTGTTAGGAAAGTGCTCCCCTCAGTCTGCACGCTGGTGGCGTTTCTCTGGGCTGTTCTGGGAAACCCGAGTGGCAGTGAAGGCCCAGCTGCTGACAGGCTCCTAGGCCTTTATGAACATGTGTGCCTGGAACGAACAAATGCCTCGCTGAATGCCTCCCCCAAGCCCTCCCCGCCCTCCTTTTCTTTCAGATACTGTGGATCATCCCCCAGAAAGTGGTCCGCTGGATTCTAGTTATGATTGCCCTGGGCATCTCAGGCTCTGTCTTGGCAATGACATTTTGGCCAGCAGTTCGTGAGGACAACCGACGCATCGCATTGGCCACAATTGTGACGATTGTGTTGCTTCACATGCTGCTTTCTGTGGGCTGCCTGGTATGGTCTCATTCCGATGCTCTTCCGGTGCGCTTTCGATGCAAATGCTAAGACCTCAAACTGTTAGGCACCACGGTTCTTTAAAAATTGGCTCCATGAAATAAATATCGTTTTAAATAGACTGTCCTAGATGAGAAATAATAGTCATGAGAATTTGATTATAATCTCTGACTTCACCTAACTTCTGAAGTTTGGTTGAGATTTGGTGTCTGGCCAGAGGAAGTAGGGGTGGATGAGTGTCTACATATAGAGCTGGGGAGCGGAGGGTCCGGGGGGCGGGGGTTCCACCTCTGGATGCTTTTACTGGTTTTCTGCACAGACTCAGAAAGAGTTTTGAAATTCAGCATTTCACAGGTAGAAAGCTCGAGAATGAAGTCAAAATAGGAAAAAGTTATCTTTAAGATGAACAACATGTAAAACAATGTTTGAATTAATGTGTTTAGGTATCTTTTTAGGGAAACCATGTGCTTTTGAGTCAGGCCCAGATTGAAGACCAGCTGTGTCACTCACTGGCTGTATGAGCTTGGGCAGGGAACCTAACTTCTCTGAATCTGAATTTCTTAATCTGCAACGTGGGTATAATAGTTCTTGTCACAGAGGGTTGTTCTGAGGATAAAATAAAATAATACATATAAAGCACTTAACATGGAATTTGTCCCATAAATACCCATAAATTAGATCCCTTTCCTTTGATCCTAAGGAGACATGTTCTTTGTAATTTCTGTACACATTGTGTGTAAAACTTGCTGCCCATGGCCTTAACAAGGACTGGTATAGGTTTTTTAAAAAATCCAAATCCAAGAATGTTAAGGTCATGGCTGCCCACAGGAAGATGTTCACATAGCACATGGCCAGACCCTTGGTCAGGCTTTGCAGTTACAGGAGTAAAGATTTCTTTGGCACTGTTTGATCTTGAATACTTTCTGTAGACAACCATGGTCTCATTAAGTGCTTGAATAAGATCCCAATACTTTATCATTGAACAAGTCTCATAAAAAGTGCCGAGTTCTTGGTTGACATGCATTTTACCTATGCCTAAACTTTAACCCCTTGAGACAGCAGAGTGACACTATTAATGTCTGGCACTTGGCATCTCTGGGCTGATGCCTAGAAATGCTGCTGTGACCTTCCTGTGACCCTCCTGTCTGCTGAGGAAGAATGTGCTTTGCACTGTGACTAACTCTCTCATTGTAATGCCTCTCACTGGTGTCTTCCCATCTCTCTTTTGAATTTTGAGTGTGTGTGTGTGTGTGTGTGTGTGTGTGTGTGTGTGTGTGTGTGT